ACACGAGCAGGGAGAGAGGGGGCGGGGAGGAGGAGGAGAGAGCAGAAGAGGGGGAGGAGTCTGTGACCAGCTTTTTAAGGATTCCCCTGCACATGAGGGGGAGGAGTCTGTGACCAGCTTTTTAAGGATTCCCCTGCACATGCGCAGGTGGGCTTAGGGAGTTATGCCACACACGCGCAGATTGTGTGAACGCACGGATGACGTAAGATGTGAGGCCCCTTACTTAGCTACCGAACTGTGCGCGTGAGGCCATATAGCCGGAGGAGTGGCAGAAGCCTAACAACATGTGCTCTCACGTTTCAGTAACACTTACACTGTAGCAGTGAAGTCGGTTTCTCTGTCGTCCGTCCCGCCATATCCACAGTACATCAGAAGCGAGGTCATATGTGCTGGGTTCCTCATCCAGGCTGTGGACAGCAGTTCATGCACCGTATGTTTGTTGAAATATTTGTACCTTAAGTCATTCTCACAGGTACGGGAAAACCTCTTCATTCCCCCCAGATCTCCTAATTAATCATAGTCTTGTAACGTGTGTCCTCACTAAAAAAGACCCCTTTGGTCCCTCTTTCCGGAGCCATTCACCAACAGTTGCAGTCTCTTGCGTGAAAACTCTTAAGTCAATAAAAACTCACCATGCTGTATTTTCTCTTTGACACAGGTAGCGTACCTGAACCAGATGTCAGACAGCATCCTCCCTTACTTTGCTGGCAATATTGGTGGCTGGTCAAAATCCATTGAGGAAGCTGCCGCCGCTTGTATAAAATTCATAGAGAATGCTGCTCATGATGGACTTAAAAGTGTGTTATAAATGGTCAGCTCTCCATTACCTGTAATTTAATTTCCCAGGCTTAATTCCAAGTGTCCTTCGCCCTTTCAAAGCCGAGGCAAGCTTTGGGGCCATACAATGATTTAATGGCAGCCTAAGCAAGATGCAGTTAAGAAGATATTAAAAACCAGCGTGTGTTCTGGTGATTTGGATTCAAACTACAAGACCTCTAAAACCCCATTGTACAGACATTGGGAAACTGCCTGGACGCAATATTGCATGATCTATAAAATGTCACAAAGTTAGTGAAAACTCTCACGGACATCTCCAGATTACAGAAATCCAGTGTGTATTCTGCAATGACAGGTTTATAAAATGTGAACCGATGGCAGGCTTCAAGCTGACGGGTGTTTAATATCGTTCCATGGGCAGCAGATGTCTCTGTCAGGGGTCTCTGGGAAGATGTATTCCATGTTTTAGAACTTTAAATTAGGAGGCATTAAAACATAATGGAATTCAATCAATTCTGGTAATAGGAACTACTTTACTCTTGTCATTTTATATATATTCCAGGTAGATGGCCAATTTAGGACCTATTTCTCTCTATATGCACACCAAGCACCTGTAAAGTGTGATATTACAAGGAGAATATTGACTGAGCTCTTCTTTATAGCTATCCCATTAGTACTCTATCCCCTAGACTTCAACATTTACCATTCTACACTGTGATGGGTCTTAACCCATAAGACAAAACAGAATGTGTCCGGCCAGCCCCCTTCAAAGGATGGCTTTTCCAAATTGAAGATCTTCTTTAGAGTTGAGAGCAAGCGACAGGCTCAGGCCATCCTGCTGTGAGCTCACCAGGTCTCTGCCTCCTCCCACTACCCCCCTTGCATAGTCTAGGGCTGGTTACAACTATGTTTACTTATCTGTTTCAAGTTTTCCTGCAGGTGAGCTTTAGACTGCATTCTAATTCTATAAATTACTATTTATGTATCAAAAGAGTCAATAGGTGGAATAGAACATTCTAGAACTAAAAAGACTTGTGGAACTATTTTACATTCTAAAGGGTAACAGAATTAGTGATGAAGGGCTTATATTACACTACAATTTAGTGTGTGAAGATTTCAGACTTCCGAAATGAAGACGCTTCCAAATGCTATATGCACAGGGTTGGTCTTTGATTTCAGTTCTTGAAATTTTTCCTGAACAGAAATGGAAATATTGTATCTTGAGCTGACTCACATTGAGTCATAGAGATGCTGTCTGCTCCTGTTTGCAGGGTCCACCTTACACAGGAGGGACAGTAACTACACAGAACACTCTCACCTAGTCTAGGTTTTTCCCGTACCACATACTTATGATGAGGTTTGGTTGATAAGTTAGAGAATTGCAACCACCTTAATAAAATAGAACCATCATAGCAATATGCTAGAATAAAAACTGTGAATACGAGCTCCCTCTCAAAATGCCTTGCCATGCTGAGCTGACCTTTCTCACCTCTTCCCGAGATGGGAAGAGAGGACACAGTGTCTACAGGTACAGAGAAGCTAAGCAGAGGTGAACTCTGCAGACACCGAGACACCACATTAGCTGCTTTGGCCTTCTGTCTTGAACGCAAGCACTGTAGTATTGTGACAAGGAATGCTGAGTGTCTCACAGACAGGAAAACACTGTAGATTCACTGGATGGGAAGATGATGGTTCATTCTCCTGGCAGGACTAATTTTAACACACTACACAGAATGTTGCATAATACTGCTTACAAATTGCTTAATTCTAGAATTTTCCATTGACTATTTCCAATGGTTGACGGAGTGACAACCAGGCACACTGGGTTGGCTGGGTGACATGGGCATAGACCATACTCAACAGCATCTTCTGATATGATAGTCATTAGCCTCACAAATGCCTTAACATTAAATGAATTTAAAGCAGTTCTTCAGCCACGCCAGCCCCTTTCACGTACTGCTGGTCACCCAAAGTTGGTGACTGCTGAAATGGGAGGTATGGACATGAAACATGTCCATCTTCAAGATCTGTTCAGTTTGTCTCAGTCTTACGACGCAGGCAGGCCCTGCTGTTTTCCCAATTTCACCCAATCTGTCAAAGAATTCCATCTTCCTAAAGGTTTGGTTCTGTGCTTCTGAGCAGAGATGTAGAGCCATCTAGCTGGCTGTTTCAGGATCATTCAGCCCATCCTATATTGAAGTGTTCATTTTTAGGATGCCTTGTCTTTATAGACTTTGAAAGGACATGATACAGGAAAAGACAGCAGCATGCTGGTGTCTTCTTAGGCTATTCCAAAACTAAACCTACTGTCCAAAACAATGCTACAATGCATCTGAGTTGTGAAGCACAATATCCCTTGGGTTTGCATTGTCTTAAAAACCTTCTTATGACATCTTATTTATTTGTTTTATGTGTGTTCATCTGATTGGTGGGGGTGGGCACATGCCATTGCACCTGGGTGAAGGTCAGAACAACCTGGGGGCGTCAGTTCTCTCCTTCCACCATGTGAGCCCCAGGGCTTGAAATGAAATCATCAGGTTTAGGGGTAAGCCCCTTGACCTAATGAGCTATCTCTGTGGGCCATGCATTTCCTCTTTATTATAGGAAGATGTCTGCCCCTTCTGCCATTCATTCTACTGAGATCTTTTCTGCTAGGCATTCTATGCTCTGTGGTTTCTGCAAGGAACTGGAATGTGCTTTTTATAGCATAAATAAAATGAATAAATAATATGCAATGTTGGACGGTCCACTATCTGGGAAAATAAAGCAGGCAAGGGAGATGAGCTGGGAGGATGGATTTTAGGGTGACTAGAGATACTTGAGCATAAACCAGACACACAGAGAGAGTGACACAAAGATCTGTTGCTGTAGGGGAGACCCCACCAAAGGGTCGTCAGCTCCCAAGGACAATGCTTCTGCCTCATTCTAGGAAAAGCAGAGAACCAAGTGAGTCTGTCTCGAAGTGACAGATAATTAAAAACAGCTGAATCTCAGACATTTCTCTCCCCTCTAGTGCCAGGCTCTAAGCAAATGTGGATGTTCTAAGGTAAGCCGTCGATGGGTTCAGCAGATGTCAGCTGGCCAGGGGATGAGGACAGGAAGTTGTACTTCGGATGGGGAGGCTCTCATCAGGTCCTATCCCTAACTATAGATAGGGATATTGGTACATGACAGTTACTCAGGGAGAGAGCATCGTTCTTGGTTTTTTTGCAGAGGGTGGGGGAGGGGGTGGCTACTGGCAAGTTGCCCATGTTCCACGTCCCATACCCTTGCACATATGGGCAGCACTAATTGGACTTAATGGGTTATTTAAATTAAACAAACAAAAAAGGCCAGGAAGCTGGGAGTGATATTGGGAGGGCTCAGGAGGAACTGGTTGGGGAAGATGGAGAGGTTGGATCTTATCACATCTTATTGTATAATGTATGAAATTCTCAAAGAATACATTAAAAAATAAAGTTTTCAAGCTCAAAAAAGGAAGTCACTTAAATGCAGACTTCACTAGAAACATGCTGCGTTTACATAATTAGAGAAACACTACAGAAGATCACTGACTAGTCATTATTATTCAGACAGAAATATTAACAATTGAACAAGCATTTAGTCTTTCATTCTTATGTATCAAATTCATGCTTCAATGTCACTGTCCTGTCTTGATTCCTCTTAATAAAGCCCATAAATGCATGATTTAAAAAGAGAGGAGAATATGGTCGGTTTTCCTTTTGAGCATTGTGGTATTTTTATAGAACATTAGAGATTTTGTAGCCTTTTTATGGTGTTTTCCAGTGCTCCTAATAAGACCAAGAGGTTTCTTATTTAAAAAGAAACCTCATTTCTGTTTAGTCTGCCTGGCTTTGATACATCTGAGCTGCTGTGTGCATCTCCTTCTCTTTCACCTCTGCCGTAGGAAAAAAATCTAGAGGAAGAAAGGAGAAAATGGGTCAGATCGTGAGCTCCCCGGCACTCCAACCCCTGTCGGAAATGACAACCGATTTTAATACAATTAAAACCAATCGGAATACGTTTGCAATACAGCATCACATCACTCTCTTCTATTTCCAAGCTGCTCACGGTGCAGGTGAAGTGTCAGGACATCTGCCATGGTTGGGGTTTGTTGGAGTTGAGTATATAGAGAGGTATTTATATAGCGTAAATATAGGTGATCTCCGGGGAGTGAATACGAGGGTCTCCCATGGAATCTAACCAGATGAGGAGAGGAGAAAATACAGTCAAGAGGGGTGATTTTGTTTTTTCTTCAGAAACAGCCTAACAAATTTTTACTGCCATAGTTTAAGGGATAGTTTTGAAAATATGTATTAAAAAGATATATGTAAAGGAGTATGTTTCACAGCTTGGCATAAATTATTAAAGCAAGAAATATTAAATCCATTCATAGACTACTTCTTCCATTTGAGAATACCTGGAACCTTAGCTCTCTCAGGGCCTCACTCTTGCTGGCTCTGAGTGTGTCAGACTCGGAGACATCTATATCCTGGTTCTCAGTCACAAGTCAAGATGACCCCTGTATGGCTTCAGGTCAACCGCTAGCTCACAGGCAGAGGCCAGCGGGAGGGACGCGCTCTTCTGCTGCTGACCACAGGACCTGGTCAGAAAGTTCAGGTTCAGAGTCTCTCAGGTTCTAGGTCTGTTCTAGGTCTCAGTCAGTCTCTTAACACCCCGCCCCCATGTCTGAAGTCTGAAGCATCCACTTCAGAACACCTTGTTATTCTCTTTTTTTCCCCAGTTTTTCAAGACAAGGTTTCTCTGTGTAGCTTTGCGCCTTTCTGGAACTCACTCTGTAGACCAGGCTGGCCTTGGACTCACAGAGATCCACCTGCCTCCCGGCTTAGAGTCTCTGGGAGATCCTTGTATTCACTCCTGGGAAATTACCTCTCTTTTCTCTCAGCTTCTCCAACAAAACCCAGCTGTGGTAGGACTATCCCGATTGGTCCCCGCCAGTGTGAGCAGCCGGGAACTGAAACTCATGTCACTTCAGAGTTCTCATCACTGATACCAAAAGGCACTGGGGGCTTCGACACCACTCTCAAGGTGTTCCTGAAGGCACACTGCCTCAAATGTCTGCCTCCTGCACCGCCTAGAGCATGGACCTTAGAGACAGCCCTCTGAGAAGGCACAAGCCCCGAATGAAGCAGCTGTTCTCATATCTACGCCCCTCCCACCTCTGCTCCCTTCCCATCATTAGGGCTGGAATCTCTCCACCATCAGCCACCAGCAATTTCTCTTGCCTTCTAAAGTGTCTCCCGCTTTCTTCTACTCACTGGCAAAGGCCTCTCTTAAGCCTTTCCTTTCCATTAGACCTTGTAATAGTAGGGGCCTGACCGGCTTCGTCCTTGGTCTCTATTCCTCCGTCAGTCCACCTGGCTCTGGTTTTCAGTGCCGTCTGTTCATCTGTAAATCCCCCCCCCCCTGCTTCTGCATCTCCTCTTAGCCTGTACTGACGCTAACAGCTAACTACATGCTTAAAGTTTCACTAAGACGCTGTCATTTCAAAG